AATTCAAACAATAGTGTAATCTAGACACTAGGCAAGTAGTCTACACATAATTTTAAAATACAAGTATTGTTCAATTTGGATCACACAAAAACTATAGGGTAGGGAGGAAAATCCAAAACAGACAATGTTTAAAATTTGTGCTTACAAAAAACGACAAATGTAAACGCATTTAACTAGTCGGCGAATATGGCAAATTTTATTTTTGTATCAATATGCATATGAATCTATAATCTCCTGAAAAAATCTTTTGAATGACTAGTAATAATTCATATATATATATATATATCTCTTCATTGAAGGACCACGCATATTTTCTTCAAATTATTATTTGTATTTTTAGATGTAAGTAAAGGTAGGCATTCGATTATGTGAAAATGCCGTGAGGGATTTGATTCACTCAAAATCGTACGAGAAGATCTATCATGTTTAAAATAATTTTGTAGATAATTATTGGATAAAAAATGGTTCTAGAAGAAAGTCCATGTGGATACGATGACTTATCTTCTTTCTTATCCGAACTATCAGTACGGTGACACATGGACCATGCACCGTCGTCGTTACGTCCCCCTCAATTTTCCCAAAATAAATATCATCATCTTACATCCACTTCAATAATTGTATCTCAAATAAAAAATATTAGGTCTGGGCATTTGGGTACGCCTTCGGGTTCGGTTCTTTTTTTTCGGGTATCGGGTCTATTCGGATAGGGGTCAAGACCCATTCGAGTATTCTAAAAATTTGGTTCGGGTCGGTTCGAATATTTTAATAAAAAAAAACAAAATACCCAAAAATAACCAAAAATATCCGAAATATTTTCGGGTTCGGGTTTTTAACTCATATATACCCAAATCTAACTGAAATATCCTATTTCTCGAAAATACATTGGTTACTCTTTACCCAAATATAACCAAAAATATCTAAAAATACAAAAATTACCCAAAAGAAAACTACATCATTAGTTACTTTTTAACCAAATATATCCAAATGTATCCGAATTACTCAAAAATACCTAATATATTCGAATTTATGATTGTAATTTTAGGTATTTCGGGTATTATAAATATAAATATAACTAATATTTTTAGGTGTATATTTGTATTCGGGTACATTCGGATACATTCGGATATTGGATTCGGTTCGGGTTTGGTTCGGGTATTTTTCGGATAGGAGGTTAGGACACATTCAGATATTTTTAAAAATCGGGTTCAGGTTCGGTTCGGATATTTTTTGAGTTTTTCGGTTCGGGTTTCGGTTCTGGATATTTTGCCCATGCCTAAAAAATATCATTTCCCATTTAACGAATAACGAATTTTTTGCAGTTTTACGGTGGCTTAATTCTCATTTGTAAGAAGAGCCTTTTAAATTCAGATATCTTCGAGGTTCAATCTTTTATATTAATTTAAGTATAACTTTGCTCTAAAACATTGACTGAGCCAAAACGAAACAAACCCGAACGATGCGATGCGGGGATGAGAAGAGGTATTGAACATTATCCAAAATAATGCAATGAATGAGAGTGGGATCATAAGGTGTGGCAACATTAAAGGACATGCTCCATTTCAGCCAATCCCTAACTCCTACCATCTGCCTACCTTTCTTTTTTTTTATTTCTCTCCCATGATGATATTCCATTAAGATACGTACGTCTCTTATAAACGTGTTTTTTTTTTTTTTAATAAATCCTATCGGCTATCCGGTCGGCCCTGGTAGGAACGCACCGAGGTGCTAAATAGTGGACTGGTCCACCGTGTTAACGGTTAGGCCCTTATTGTTAAGAATGAAGTTGCAGGTTTTTCTGGGAATGCTACGATCGTGTTATTATCACAAATGAAAGGGCTATATATATAGCCTACAGAGGAAGACTCAGTCTTCTACAATTACTTGAAGCAGAAAATTAGCAACCACGTCTAACTAAGTCTAACAACTTGCTGACTCCTTATACATGGGAGACTTATTCAAAACCAATAAACAAACTAAGACCAAATCAAAACCCAACATTGCCTCCCCTAAACTGAAATCGGTAGAATTCAATTTACCCTGTTGCACACTCCAAGCTTCTCCCTCAGCTTGATAAATGCCTCCAACTTCACCGGTTTTGTCATGATGTCTGCAACTTGATCCCCTGTTCCGCAAAACACCAACTTCACCACTTCTTGTTTTGCCAAATCACACAAATAATGGTACCTCACATCGATGTGTTGTGTACGTCTAAAATCCACCGTACGTTTCAAGTATGTTAACATACTCTTAGCAGCGAGCATATGCTCTTCTTTTGACTTTGCCATGAACTGAGAAATCAAATCGGCCACGTACATCATATGGGGCATAAGCGACCCTGTTTGATTCTTCTCAATATCTTGTAACTCACACCACTTGGCTTCCATTTTCTTCACGTCCACCTGTGAACTTGCAAGATCCCATGTCTCATTCTTCTGAATAGCTTGTAACTCACACCTCATCACTTCCAGCCATTCCTCTTCTTTACATGCTTCTACAAATTTCACATATACCTTTGCACTTTCTACATCATTGGAGAGATCATGACAGCGGCCTCTCTCTTTACCAGTTTGAAGAGCCTCACCGTTTTCACCGGAAGCACCACCATCTCCACCAGTTTCATTTTCATCTGCATTTTCTTCTTCTTCGAATGAAACAAGAGCCATCAAAAGTACTTCCTCCTCCAATTCTGCATAATTTGCTCCCTTCTCCCAATCAGGACATTCATATTGGAAATGTCCTAATTTATGACACTTAAAACACTCAACGAATGCCTTGTTTAGAGTAGCTCTTCCTCGACCTCTGCCACGGCCTCCTCGTAAGCTACCTCGTCCTCTTCCGTAACTGGAACGTTCGTCTTGAGACACATTCAAGACATGCTCCTCCTCCTGAGGTTCTTGCATCCTTCCCTCATGAACCAACAAGCTTCCATGTAGCTCATCAATAGTTAGCGTACTCAGATCATTTGATTCCTCGATTGAGCACACAACATAATTGAATTTCCTGGTTAATGATCTGAGTATCTTGCTCACAATTGTGCTCTGCTCCACGCCTTCTCCATTGATCTTCATTTTGTTTACCACAGACAAGGTTCTTCCCAAGAAGGTGTCTATCTTCTCACCTTCCTTCATAGCGAGCAACTCGAACTCTCTTTTCAACGCCTAGAGTTGTGCTCGTCTCACCTTTGTTGAACCTTGATACTTCCTTTTCATTGATTCCCAAATCGCTTTTGAAGTTCCTTTGTCAAGGATTGTTTCAAGAATTTATCTGTCAATGGCTTGAAACAGAAAATTCTTGACTTTAAGATCCTTGAGCTTTGCCTCTTCCACAGCTTTTCTCTGAGCTTCATTCGCTGGTGATGACCCGATTGCCATTGTCGGAATCCCTTCTTCCACCAGGCTCCACATCTCTCTACTCCTTAGAAAGTTCTCCATCGTCATTGACCAAAAGTCATAGTAGCCTTCAAATTTCGGAATAGCCGGCTGCACAAACTTCTTGGATGATGTTGACATTTATTTGTTCTTCTTTCTCTCCCGTTTTCTTTTTCTTTAAACGAATCACTCTTTCTCTCACTCAACGACTCACTCTTTCTCTCACTCCTCTTTCTATCACTCTTTCACTCACTCGTTTTCTTTTCAACGACTCACTCTTTCTCTCACTCCTCTTTAAACGACTCACTCTTTCTCTCACTCCTCTTTCTCTCACTCCTCTTTCACTCACTCGTTTTTTTCACTCAATGATATTTCATTTGAAAATGGCTCTGATACCACATGTTAAGAATGAAGTTGCAGGTTTTTCTGGGAATGCTACGATCGTGTTATTATCACAAATGAAAGGGCTATATATATAGCCTACAGAGGAAGACTCAGTCTTCTACAATTACTTGAAGCAGAAAATTAGCAACCACGTCTAACTAAGTCTAACAACTTGTTGACTCCTTATACATCAGAGACTTATTCAAAACCAATAAACAAACTAAGACCAAATCAAAACCCAACACTTACGGGCTACCACTCTGCCTATCCCGAGTTTGGAATGCCTTCCGACTAAGTGCCAGGGGGTAGTCAGGCCGCCTGCATTTCTGGCTACCAGGTAAACCAATTGGGCCAAGGTCCAACTGACAGACTTCCCAAACAAATGTGTTTTTGTTTCCAGGGAGAATCGAACTCAGGTTTGGGAGTTTCACCCTTTCCCAAAGCTTCCTCTGCCACTAGACCACGGATGCTTGGGCAAAAACGTGTTCTTTACAAACAAAAATTTCCTTCTTGATAAGAAAGATTTACAAACGTATCTTTAAAAAGGTTTTGTGCCCTGGTTTTAAACATTGTCTATCTACAGTTATTTATTATTTTCCAAGCTTAATAACAAAGAAATCTTTTATATAATGTTTTATAGTTTCATTCATCTTTTCGATTTAGTAGTTTTATCATTTCATTAGCTTTTCTGTTTATGATGACTAGTATTTTTCACTTTATTTTGTGTGTTTACAACCAAATTATCATGGTTAGTTAGTCTCATGTTTTACTTCCCATAATATGAAGTAACTTTTGAATAGTTGAATTATATCAACGTTGGACCGAAAATCAGGTCTGGTCTCGTCTTTATATCATCGTTTAAGACGGATGAGAAAAAACAGTTGATATCCACTATGTTTTGAAAGAACATAGTATATTTATAACCCAAACAAAAGAAAATATATTTCTGTTTTAGTTCGTTGAAGAAACTGGATTCATTTCTCCAAGATAAATTTTATGGAATAAGAATTGAAAACGTGCAAATGTTGTTATAGTGTTCATTAATGAACAAAAAAAAAAGACTTTTCTTTTTAAAATGAGTCTAGCATTACAAGAGATTTTTGTAACCATTCGGTAATACAATTGTTGCATAGAAAATGATTGTATTCATAAAAAGAATAAATTAAAAAACGAGAAATGAGCTGTGCTTTCTAGAAGAACATTGATATCTCTTATTCGTATTTTTCGCCTGTAAGGCTGGAAACAAACGAGGGCGTACTCTCCTAGCCTCAAATCTTTCATGCCTTTTGGCTTTTCCCAATTAAGATTATACTATTTATAAAACAAAACTATAGTAATCCAACAAAATAAGAATTTTTAGAAACGTAAGTATTCCTCCAAAAGAGCTAGAATAGGTGGTTCACCTTGTTAAGTATGAAAATGTTTATGTTTACAAAAAAGAGCTAATAGGTGATTAGTTTTACCTTGCCAGAAAAATAAATAAAAACAATGTGAAACTTAGATTGAAAAACAGACGATATGTTTTAGGTTCTGTGAAGCCAAAGCCACATAAGATCACATCCCTTCACGGAAATGGAAATGCTTTTAAAAAAACGAGATAGTGTCGCCATGATAACTGCATTGCTGCTGGAACCCTAAACTTTATTAATGAACTAATGAAACCAAATTATTTTTATCATATGATTGAAAATGTTGCCAAGATTCGTGTTTACTCTATAGATGACAACAACATTATCATTTTTCAAACAGTAGTTGATTAAACTAAATAAAAAAATTGATATATAAAATTTTGTAGATTAAACAATCAGAACAAATCTACAAAATTTTGACTATAAATAGATCACTACACTTATAGATTTGTCTCATCGAAGTAAAGTTTACTAAGTTGAAAGAGAAAAATTAGTCTTACTAAACGCAAAGCATTTTAAAGAAATGGCAAAAAACATCAACTCCGTTAGTTTCACCGTTCTCTTGCTTGTTCTTTTGATGACTTCCACCGGTATGAATTTAACGAAGTTCTCTATTATATACTTTTCATTTGTGTGTATATGTATATATAGTGCTGATGAATTAAATGAATATGTCAAGAAGTTACAATTACATAGATAATCTTTTGCTGATGAATTTAATGAATATGTAATCAAAATGTAGAAATCGTGAAGAGCGATGCTGCATGCTTCACGTTCTTAGGCGAGTGCGGGCCGGAGCCATTTACAGGTTCAAATGCTGATTGCTTGGCCTGTTGTGTAGCACTTTACAGTAGTCCACCAGTTTGTGCTGGACGTGTTGAGGGAAACCCGGCTCACTGCCACTGCTACAAATCTTAAAGAGGTTTACATAACCTCTCGCATATAATTACCAAGTGTAACTTTTGTTTTCATTCGGTGTGAGGACATTTCATCTCTGTATGTTAATGTTCAAGTTTCTTTTGCTTACAAATAAAACATCAAGGGCAAAGCTTGTCACTGCTTGCCCATAAGTATAAGCTCCTGCATGCACTTTTCATTAGTTCTGAATAATAATAAACTCGTTTTGTGTTTGTGTTTAGTGTGTGTTCCTCATTTCATTCCCGGCTATATTCAAGTTTCTGTCACTAGAAATTCTTTACAAATATTATAAAGAGTATGAATGATTATCAGGTATCCCAATATGTCCACACAAGAACCACGACAGTTACGTATGTAATCTTCTTTCATTTGAATTGATCACATTTGCAAATTTTAATCCCAGATCAACATTTTTCCAGCTACTATGATTAGCATGAACTATATTTGGATTATTGTCCTTAAAAAGAATAAGCATATCTTAACCGGAAAGACAACAATTTCCTATACTTCAACTGAGTATCCGATGACCCATAATGTTAGCCATCTAGTCTAAAGTTAAGAATTGGAACGTTGTCTTTGACTTCGTTTGCCACAAAACTGTTAGGTCAATTAACGCGATTAGTAATAAATAATTTTGTAACTCATCAACAAGGTCGTTGTAGTATAGTGGTAAGTATTCCCGCCTGTCACGCGGGTGACCCGGATTCGATCCCCGGCAACGGCGTTATTTTTAATTTTTTTACAATTTAAAAATTAATCACATTTTAGAGCAAGAAAAATATTGGCTTCGCCCGGGTTCGAACCGGAGACCTTCAGTGTGTTAGACTGACGTGATAATCAACTACACTATGAAACCTTTTTATTCTTACATCAAACAGAATATTTATTAAACCAAGTCAGTATCGAATGGCGAGCGGTTGCTGCCATCGCCTCTTGTTTTTTTTTAAGGGCGAGTTACATAATGGGATACTTTTCTTGAGTTTTCTTACAAAAGACACATATTCTGTGATTTTCATCTTTTTTTAACTGTTCAAATTTAATAATACTATTTTGCCCTTTAACAAGAAGCGCATATTGTATAGTTTGCCTAGATATCTTCTTCTTTTTTCCACCTTCCACGTCACTTAAAAAGTTTGTTGAGAATAGAAAGTGTGCTAGAATGTTAGAGAACTTGAAAAAGTGTGGTATAGGGTAAATATCTCTTTTTTTAATCATCTCGAAGTAAAGCCTCGAAAGAAGAGGAAACAAACTACATATGTAATTTAGTAATTTACACAAAAACATAAACGAAATACTGTTCTGTGTAGATCAAATTGAATTTAGATGAACCATATTATTATTTTGTTTAATTTACACAACAGCAAAATAATATCAAGTTATCAACCATAAAAAAGAGAACCACTATTAAGGCACTCTTGGTTAACTGAAAATTTCGTTGGCAAAACAAACATATTTAGCATCATTCTAACTGAAAACCTCCAAGAGGACCCAAAAAAAAAAATGTAAGCAGCTGAAAATGAATTGAGTTTAAAAGAGCATTTATGAGGTCTTAAACCGAGGAATCCAATATTAAACGGAGACACATGGTCGTTAGTTGCTAAACATGAAGGATCATTCTGATTTTTGTCTTCAAAGTTCAAACCAAAAAAGAACACGAAAGCAAGAGTCGGAAACAGAGAAATGAGCAAAACAAGCTTTAGAAAATCAACTAGAGAGAGAGAGAGAGAGCGATCTGGTGATTCCTCATTCCTCTGCAGCACTTGCGGCACTCAGGTCAACACTTAGGTCAAGTTGCTGCAACATAAGAAAAACACAAAAGTTTTTGTAAAAGATGTAAAGGAAACCTGTGGGATTTGTCTTTCGATCCCATCAACATATATCGGTTGTGAATTTCAGAACATTTACCTTTCCAGTGATTAGAGTATACATGTTCAACACATCCGCAACAGTTGTCTCAAAGTGTGTTGTAGCATCATAGCTCTGTAAAGACCAAGGACAGGGTTAGATACTTAAAAACCATCAAACTTAAAGTAGGCAGCCATCAAATCTAAAGAGTCTCGCTCACCGTTGATATAAAGCAGTTGTCCAACTCTGGCTCGTTGACAGGCTCGTACCTATCATACATGTCGAAGAATATCTCATCAACAGGACCCAAAAGATCAGTTCCAGGCTTTAGTTCGGTTTGAGGGTTATCAGTCTCTGCATCTGTAGACACAAATGCAATGAATTTCCCCTTGGGAGCAACGTTGTGAGAGTACGAACAACAGAAGACATACCTGTCAGAGTGTAGAGGTTTCACAACATTAGACCCAACAAAAAAAGAGAGAGTAATGATTACATATGACGAAACAAACATCACTACGGCGAAATTATTCTGTGTATATGCAATTCAAGCTATTGACTAAAGAGGGTTCCTGAATAATATTACTTTCATTTTCTGGCTACATGTACGAAGGATAATTTATAGCAAGCTTAAAAACGTATCTCAAAATGATATTGAGACGGAGCTTATGTACACAGAAAAAGAAAAAAAAATGCACTAGGTATTTCAAGTCCTTTCAGCCACTTATCAAAGTTAAAGTTAAAAAACTTACATATCCGATTTGCGGGCCAACTGTTTCTGGGGTATGATGACCTGCACTGAGTGAGAATCGTTGGTGTTTGGAATTGGGTGGCTCATAATGGCGATGGCCCGAGCAACCCTGCCAATCTTCCTAACCTGTTTGATTGTGATTAATCATCATATCATGAAACATTCCACACTCATGTATAAATAACAACAAAAAGGAATAGATTTTCCAAAAATCCTGGAAAAGACCGCAGTCTGGTCATCACACGAAGAGAAGAACTAAATGTGTGAATGAATATAAAAACTATGGAAATCAACCAACATAATGAACAAGCCAACGGCAAAAGTCACAAGTATCACGGACAGCTACTTACTTTATAATCGTCCTGCTCTCGAGGATAAGTATGGACACAGTTAAATCATAATCGAAAATTTAAACATGCTAAGAACTGCAATATTACCTTGTTCGGCAGGTAGGAAGGGTCACACACAATCTTTTTGCATTTGGCAGTCTCTCCCTCAGATGTAACACCAGTAACCTTACCTTCCTCGTCAAACTCTACCTGGCATAAGATTAACATTGATATATATGAGTACAGCGTTCCTCCAACACAATATCACACCGCATTCCCCTCTTGCAGACTTGCACAACAAGAAAAAACAAAGAGTTGTCATGAAGACAAAGAGAAAATACCTTGCACTCAGGTTTGTTCAACATATATGTGCCACCATAGACAGCACTAAGTCGTGCAAATGCCTGAATACGGAGAAGATATAGAGAGAAGTCACAGAACAATAAAAAAAAGTAATCATCTAAAACTTGAAAAATTCAAACAAAAGGCAAAGATCAGAATGACAGAAAAACCTGAGGTAGTTCTCCCAACCCATAGAGAGGATAAATATATGGAGAGGTTCCTTGGAAACGTGCAAGAGATTCCGCATAGAGCTAGCCAGCCATTTAAGACAAGAATGTCAACTTAGCTGCTTCAGAACTAAATGTACAACTGTTATAACAAGGGTGACAAGTCTGACAAAAGTGTACCTTCATTCTCAGTACAGTATCCAAGGCAGGTTGATCGAGATGTTGGTCATTCGTGTGAAGTGCCACTGCATGACCAATAAAGTCAATAGTGTTGCCATCAAGACCATATTTCCTGCCAAAGTGTCACATAAATGGTTAGCCACGTATATCCTCACTTGAAAGTCAAAAATACTAGAAAGAATTAGAACATCAGCCTTACGCAATCAGTTCCTTTGTTGTAACTCTGCTCAAATCCATTCCATCGTGTGTTTTAGGGTCCTTCTCATCATATTCCTGAACAAAACTGAAAAACTTGCCGGCTCGACGTTTCTCAAATATACCCATGAGAGAAGATTTCAGGGCCTCCATAGGAGTAGCTGGCACCTTTTGAACCTGCAAGAAAATTTTCATAAACAATTATAGAGTTATCAGCATAATGATTTTGTAAACTATCTGCAACTGATACATCAAATGAGAAGTTTTTACCTTCCCTTTAACGAAAACATAGCTTCCATCAACAGCTTTGAATGACAAATACTTTGTAACATCTGTATGAATAAGGGTACGAACAAGCTTGCCATTTCCCATCATAAACTGGTCAATTGTATTGAGAGACAAGGAGTTAGAAAATGGCATTGATAAAATTAGCATAAAAATAAAACGAAAGGCAGCTAGCTATAATACCTTAGGCATCATGTCAACATTGTAATCCCGGCTAGCGCCTAAATGCTCAGGAGCCTTCTCTTCTCCCCTGAACTTCTTCCAAAGCTGATTGAGATTAAGCGAAGTTGATTCTCCACCATAGTAGTCATTCCTGTCCATGTGAAGCACCTATCCAGAAAACCAATGCGTTAATAATCAGATCGTGGGAAAATTAAGAGGTCAATGAAACATGAAAACATATGTAAAAGCCCCAAAACATTTTCAATCATCTCCATGCTCAAACTCGATAATCACTTTCATCACATCTCATAAACATTATCAAGATCGAAAACCTGAGCTCAATTCATACAATCAGAGATCTAATCTCACCGAGATCCGTTATTTTGAATCCGGATCAAAGCAATTAACCAAAACGCGATCGTGAATTCAAAGGTTCCGTGAACAAATAAGAGAGAAGAAAAGGAAAAGGAATCGGGGAAAGAAGAAGGAGACCTTGACACCATCGACGGAAAGGAGACCGCTGAGGATACACTCCTTGAGACCGGTGCCGAGAACAATAACCTCGTACTCTTCATCCATGGCTGATTCCGAAAGTTTCGTAGAGCAAACGCGAGAGAGAGAGATCGATGAACGCAGAGAAATGAGTTTGGGAGATCGTCGAGGGAGATCGTCGAGGGAGATCAGTGACCAATTCTATTAGAGGAAGCAAAAAAATAGATGCCTTGATTGTGGAACTGGAATGGGTAATAAATTTTCGATGGCATAATCGTAAAAACATATCAATATATACCAGATATCTTAAATAATACTAATAATATTGTTTTTTCCCTAAATTAAGACATTATTTTAAAAAATTTGAAGCCATTTATAAATTTTCTTAAAATGAGTCAATGCTACATATATAAACTGGATTTTTATTAGTGAAAATGCCTTCTTTTTTTTTTTTTTTTTTTTTGACAGCTAGTGAAAATGCCTTTATAATTTATATTTACCGTGATGACAAAAAAAAAATTTATATTTACCGTATATTTTTGGGATGACAGGTTAGTTATTGTTTTAAAATTATAACTCGACAATGAATAAAATAAAAGTAATGTATTTTAAAGAATTGGAAGTTGCCAAATGCTTGATTTAGAAACAAATTGTTTTAATAAGATATGTCCAATAATGATTTTTTAAAAACTCAATCAGCAAAGTATGCAAATATTAGTATTTATTCAAAAAATGAAGAAATATATTTCAGTTTGGAACTTCCCACATCTTTATCAGGTTTGTCCGTAAAGCAACTCAATTTTTTTTTAAAGTAAGCAACTCAGTTACAAGTCATTTTCGTAGATTACAATAACAATAAATAAAGGACTAAGTATAGCATTATTAAGATCGAGATGATGATAACAATTTTATAACTATAGTTGTAATAATTTCAAAAGCCAATCATTTTTCCGATTGATGTTGATACTTAATAATTTTAAATAAAAGTATATACTGTTTTTATGCAAGCTTACACGCATTATAGATGTTTTCTGATTAAAATTATTCAAATAATTGTGAGCCTATATGTTAGCAATGCTAACTTAGCATCTACTAGTACAATTCTATTACATCATCATTCATTCAATACGTAACAAATATATAGTTATATGTTTACCAGTCATGATTGAAACGCGTTTAGTAATTGATGAATAAAAAATTGAACACGATTCAGTTTATACTATATTGGAGTTTTTACCTCGAATTTGTAGTTTTATAACAAGAACACATATGCCATGGTTAAATTGAATCTTAAATCTAGTACTCCCTCTATTCGTAAAAGATTGATGTTTTAAAGTTTTTACATATATTAAGAAGCAATCGTTGTTTAATTATTTGTCAATTATTTTTTTATACTAAACATTTTTTTATAACTTTGAACCAATAGTATTAAAAAACACTTAATCATTACGCCTTGAAGTTTACAATATATTAATTTTAATCAATAAAAATAAAATAAAAACCTAAAAAATCAAATTTTGTGGAACAAACTAAAACTCTTGAACATCAAATATCTATGAAAAGATGGAATATAAAGTTTGCACAAAAAAAAAAAATCTAGTATAACATCTGATATATTCTCAGCCGACAAGATTACATATGTTTTCACAAATGAAGATGAATGCTAGCTGCAGGATTAAAGATAAATGAAATATGATTAGTTAAATAAGAAAAACAGAGGAATAATTTTGTGTCATTGTTTTTTCTTTCTCTAAACAATGTGTCATTTCGTTATGTACTTTGATTAATGCAAAATGGTGAATTTAAACTAAATACAAAGTTACAAACGTTGAGGGTTTCCATATGGTGGCTCCAAACGGTTGGGCTGTCTTCGAATATCATGTAAAGCTCAACAACTTCTTTACTTGCTGCACTACTATTCGTGAAGCTTCAGCTTCAGTTTCCAATGGACTTGATATTAATGGGCAGCTGATGACTACCGTCTTTACTATGAAGAGACCATCCAATTCTTGCTTGCTGATTTGCAGAAACTAAGATCCACCCATGCACAAATCAACAACAGTTATTAGTTCTTGAGATTTATGCACTCGTATTTTCATCATGTTTTATTGTAAACTCTAATCGTGTTGTATACTTTTATAGTATATTTATTCCGTAAAGCTATTTTGCAGAGTGAACACAATAATTTTACTCTTTATGTTTCTAATTAATAAAATTTTAAGAAAAAAACTTGTTTTAAAAAAATGCATTTTTAAGTAATTATTGAGGATGAATTGTAAATTTCAAGAAAAATAGAGTTATTAATTAGGGTAATATTACTAACTAGCCAAATTTGACACATAAATTAAGAAACTAGCAGAGAGAGAAAATTCTGTCGGAAAACAGCATAGACCCACCTTGTCTGAAGAGGTGAAATAACAAAACCATCCTCCGTTTGTTTTGAGATCTACAGTAGGCGACATTGTTTCGTGATATTTTTCAAAATAGCACGTAAGATCTAAATTTCACATGTTATATTTAACTAAAATACATGCTATTTAAAAAAACATAGTGAATTTTTAAGAAAAAACATTGTCACGTAGTGTTTTTTTAAAAAAAAACATTATTACGGAAAAATTAAACTTGAATAGATACTTTTTATAAATAAATAACATGTGATCTTAATAAAAACCGTGAATTACTAGAAAATAAGAATCGTTTTTTAAAGAAATTACATGTGATCATAATAAAAAACGTGTATTACTACAAAATAACATGATAGCGAAAGATATTAAACTGAATAGAGTGTTTTTTCAAAGAAATAACATGTGATCTTAATAAAAACCGTAAATTATTAGAAAATAAGAATCTTTTTTTAAAGAAAATCACATGTGATCATAATAAAAAACGTGTATTACTATAAAATAACATGATAGAGAAAGATATTAAACTGAATAGAGTGTTTTTTTCAAAAAATATCATGTGCTCTTTATAAATAACGTGTAAAACCGGAAAATAATATGATAAAAAGAGATATATTATTCTATCACATGTAATTCGAGAAAAAAACATGTTATAAAGGGTATATGTGTAATTACACGTGCTTTCCGACATCCAACAGACAAAGTACTGTAGCTCATGGCTATTTTCTTAATTCTTTTTGAATCCATGACTATTTACTATAAATTCTCTATTACTTATTAATTACAAAAATAAAGTATTTCTTCTAATCAATCTTTAATAAAAGGACAAAAAAATGAGAACACAAGTTAATTGTTCGTATCAAAATTCCAAGTCGTTTTGTCTCCTACATATGATTTGTAGTCATTAGTTTGAGTTCCCCACCCATAGATTCTGAATTACAATGGACATTAACAGCGATAGAAAGAAGAGAGAATCTATAATTAGAATTAATAAACTAAAAGATTCGACAAATGTAAATAAATCAAGAGAATATTTTTGTTATAAAAAATATATTTAAAAAAAAAACAGTAAATAAAAATTCCGTCAAATAAAAAACCAGAACCCGATGCACAGGGTTTTTCTCAGCCTCTCTTTCTCTTTCTCTCTCTCTCTCTCTCTCAATGGAACTCTTGTCCAGGTTTCACCATTTCCTCTCTCTTATTGTCTTCTATGGTTCATGTGCTGCTTCATCTGTATAACGCTAATTACGTTGTTCTTCGCTCTCTTCTGATTCTCGATTCGTTTTTTTTTTTTTTTCTTTCTGATCGGGTGTCCGATTTGGTGTTCTCTGTTAATCGAATTGGATGATTTTGCTGATGATGATGTATTGTTTCATTTTTAGGGTTTGTTGTTGATTTCTTATGCCATGTTCAAGAGATAGTGCGCTTAAAGGAAGGCATCGAGGATTTACGCTTATTAGAAGGAACTGTGGGTGGATTCTGATAGGGATCAGTGCTTGGCTTTTGAGTTTCGTCCTTTGATTTTGTAGATTTCGATGCTTCTGATGAGACCCTTTTTGGTTCTTGTGATTCACACCTTAGTGATTTGTTTCTAGCATTTTTGGATACTTTGGTTCTCAAATCTCTTGATTGTTGCCTGCAATTCACTGGGTAGCCTGCACTTTGGAGATATCTGAAAGACCATACAAGGATTGGATTTGCTATACAGTATTGTAAATGACATAGATTTTGTTTAGTGGTCTCTTGTCCGGATAGCTTTTGGATGAATAATTTTTCGAGTTTGATTTGGAGAGTTACGATTTAAGAAGGATGGAGAAAGAAGGTGTGTGTGATAACATCAAGTTAACTGATCAGATGCACCCTGATGAGCCTTTCTGTTCCGAGATGAAAACTGAAACCATTGCTTCATCTCAGAAAACTGAAGGAGGCGAGGGGAGTAATGTGGTTTTTTCGAGAGAGGCACCTTTAATAGGAAAGGATCCAGCTGGAACTAATTCGGGTGAATGCTGCGGTTGTAGTGCAAATAAACTAAATTTCAAAGAGAATGATGATCTCATTGAAAAGGAAAATATTGAGCAGCTGAAAAAGCTTAATAGGCAAGAAAGAATAGAGTTGGGACGACTCTTCCAAGGCGCTGTTACCTCACTGGATTGGGAACTTGCTGACAGATTGATTCAGTTGGCTGATCCACAAACTTTAAATGACTTGTTGTGTGTTGGTCTTGATTCAGTTTGGTTCTTGAGTACAAATCCTGAGTTTCAGAGGATCACCGGATTGATTAAGAAGATCATATGTCATGGTGCTCATGACTTTACAAGAGCTACTCTTAGGACTTCGTTTCTCGCTTCATGTGTCTCTGCTTGCCAGAGCCGGACAATGAGTCTTGCTGATACAGTAACTGTTATGGCTCAAAGGTACACATGCAAATCTATAATTTCTCGTAAGTATAATATTAACGCAGTTTTGGGGTGCTTAGACTGGTTCTTTTTGTTTTGCTTCACTCACGGGAATCTTAGATATATTTGTAGCTGCACATATTTTTCCTTACTTGTTTTAGTGTTTGGTTACATCTGTAAGTGGTCGTCTGTGCTAAATTACAAGTTAATCAAATGACACTGCTAAAAATTTGTGGGGATTGATGCTGCTAAATGTCATAGACAAATAAATTTGCTTAATAAAACTTTAAAGCAGTTGTTTTAACTTTTAACATCCGAGTTCATATTTGGTTTGTACATAATGTATAGGTTGCATGAGCGTCTCCAAGAGTGCAACGGGGATGAGATTCTGAAAGCAGAGGCTGGTGCCAAAGTTCAGAAGTTCACTGAATGGGCTCTCAAATGTATAGGTTTCCACTCCCGATGTCAGGGGGCAAAGGATAGGGTTAGCCAAAATTCAGCTGCTGAGATTGAACTACAACTTTCTGCTTTCAAGATGTTCTTAGATTTAGCAGGAAACCATCTATCAGGAAGAGACTTCACCGAGGCCTTCGATGCAGCTTGTTTCCCACTCACTCTGTTCTCCAACTCGTTCGATCCTGGCTGGGCATCTGGAATGTCAGCTACTGTTATACATGGACTGCTCGGTATGCTGGTTGAAGGTGGTGCAGATAACGTGAATCAATGTTTCCTCGAAGCTTCACGTTTTGGTAGTACAGAACTTGTCCGCGTCTTGTTGCAGGTAAGCTTCCATTCTTTTGATTGCTTATAGACTTGAAGAAGGTCTCCTCTTACACTCAAAATTTTGCATTTCCCGGTTCAGATTGCTCAAAGGAACAGCTTAGATGTTGATGTGGACTTAGCTCTTGGTTTTGCCTCGCATTATTGTAAAATAGGGACAATGAAGTGCCTAGTCGAAGAAGGTAATGCCATTGCCTTCTTGGGCCCTTTAATGAGAGCAGCAGAGAGAGGTTGCATGCAAGTTGTTCAATGGTTTGTGAAAAGAGGTTGCCGTGACATGGAACTTTGCTTGGCTCTAACAGCCGCCACTTCAAGTTGCCAAGTCGAGGTTGCTGCTTATCTTCTCCCTCGTGTTCCACCACCTGTCTTAACCGCTCTCAGCATTGAAATCCTCAAAGCAGCTGGAGAAAGAAGCGGAGGGTCTCTCCAAGGAGTAGAGTTTCTCCTCAAATCAGACTTCTTAGGAGATTCCACGGCTACATACTCAGTCGCAGACAGCATCGCGAGGTCATCAGAAGACGAATCCGTTCCTTCAGATCTAAAATCATTTCTCCAAGAACACTGGTCGGAGTCAGCTTTTGAGAAAGGAATGAGAGAAAGCCATGAAAATTTCATGAATTTCATGAGAGTTTTGAAAAAAGGCGAGTCCGCGATATCCTTAAGAGACCTTCCTGCACCGCTAAGAGTAGCAATAGCATACATGCCGCTGTACAGAGAGTGCATGAAAGGGGATGGTCGGTTACTGTCTCAGAGGCTAAGAGGACAGCTTGTGGAAGCTGTGAGACAGCTTCAAGGTTGTGCTGTTGCAGTTGTGGAAGTAAGCCAGACTCGTAACCTTATGGCGGTTTTGGAGCATCACCTTACCGCCATTTTCGATTAAAACAAATGGATTCTGCTTTGGGCTTCTTCACTGCTTTTCTAATTTCTACGAATAGTTGAAAAATAAGAAAATAAATATTACGATTTTAACGGATATATGGGATTGGGTTTGAGATGACGAAGTGAGGGTTTTTTGTATAATTTCTTCTTATGATGATGCGTCTATTATGTCAGTCTCTTCTCCTCCATTTCCCTTATTATGGCGTTGGTTTCTTCTTTTTTTACATTTATAATTAATGTAATATTTGTAACTTACGTTTCTATTGTATATCAATTATCATGGCAATGTCAATAACAAAGTGAGCATATCTTTTGTAATTTCATTGGATTAAGAACCCTAAGATTAATTAAAAATCATATGATATAATAAGATTTACATAAAATTGCAAGTTACATCTCTATTAGCATTATTAGAATCAGAAGAAGGCATGAAGGCAAGAACCACGAGCAAAACCATAATCCCAATGGGAACCAAAAGCAGCATAAACGGAGGCGGAGGTAACGGCGGCAAAACTAACGGAAGGATTAACAGAGATGCCGTGAGACCCACCAATAGAAACAGAGACTCTAAACTGAAATAATTCGCCGGAATCATCAACCTTTTCTGCGCCGAGAAACTCCGCCGTAACTCTTGCTTGTTTTTCTCCGGCGAACTTCGAAAGCTCATGTTTTTCCGGTTGTTTCTTCCGACGTCCATGACTCCGTTGTTCGAATAACGGTCTTGAATGTTAATAATATCGTTTTGTAAGTTTGAGATTTCGCGAATCATCTATCTAACGAGGTTGTTTTGCTGGGTCTGATTCCGATTTAGAAGATCGGTGACAAATTTTGCTCAAAGATATGTTTTTTTAGGGCACTGGTTAACCAATGCAGCTTGATCGAAGCAAACGGTGACGAATTCGAGACAAATCACGATGACCCACGATTCAGAAACAGAGAATGCAGAACAAAACCGAGTTATCTCAACGATTCAGATTTAAAAGAAGAAGCTTTGAGGTGAAGAATGGTTCTGAGCTGATGTGATTCCGGTTTAGAATCAAAGCTGCATAGAGAAATTGTAGATGAATGGTTAAGCAGAAATCATAGAAACGACACAATCAAATAAAGTCTGATGAAAAAAGTACCTTTAAGCCGTGTGAGCCAAATTAATCCCTTATAAGAGGAAGAGTTTGAGAAGCTTTTGTGTTTTGGTTTGGTTTGGTAATGAAACTGTGTGAAACTAGCTAGTACTAGTAGGGAAATGAGGAAGGCAAGTAGCTAAGGAAGAGAATAAAGAAAAGGGGAAATCTTTGGAGGTATTAATAAAGGAGTTGGAAGAGAGGATCAGAGAAGAATCAGAAGATATGGGGAGACAGAGAGAGGAGAGGAGGGTTCAGTGAATTTAGGGATTTTCTGATTTGTTGAAAAGACAGAAAAAGAGGAACGTTTATTATAAAGGGGCTGACAAATGTGAGAAGCAAGTTGCTGAATTTGGAAGATTTTGAATTTTTGAATTTAGTAAACAATTATTTCGTGTGGCCTAGTCTTCCTCCACAATCACAAGGTTCTTCTCCCCTGGACTTCCTTTCTCTTTCTCTCTACTTTCTTTTTAGTATGCTTACAAGATGATATGACGTAAGCTAGAATCTCCCAAGTAATATTAAAATAAATCAGTTTTAAAACCATCTTTTTACCATTCTATAAATTTCATGAAATCTTCTTGTTTAATAGTCTTGAATCATCCAGTTATTATAGGTTGATTTAAATCAAATAAACTTAATATTTGATGCGATGAGGAAATTATTTTTATTATCGTACCTACTAATAATTTTGTCGATGTTTATGGATAGATAAAAGGACCCATAGTGTTGTTCTTCTCCAAGCATTTCATATGGTGAATGTGTTTGTTCTACCAGGAAATGTTGGGCCAATATGTATGCTTATTTCAAGTCTCATATATATATATATATATATATATATATATATATATATATATATATATATATATATATATATTTTTTTTTTTTTTTTGATAAACTCTATCGGCTGATCCGGTCAGTTCCGGTAGAAATTCACCGAAGTGCTTCAGAGTGGACTTCTTCCCGAAGGGCCACCACACTGTCTGTCCCGAGTTTGGAATGCTTTCCGACTAATGCCAAGGGGTAGCCAGATCGCCTGTTACTGGACTACCAGGTAGACTACAAGTCTCATATTTTTATATATAAAGCCCAGTTAAATATATATCTTTATAGCTAAGAATATGTTTTTCAAATTAATTCACAGATGCCATTTTTATATATTTACGTATGAAGATCGGACATAGTAACGTGACAACGCGCTTTGCATGTGAAGAAGTCTTGAGACTTGAGAGGATGGTTTTTAATAAAGCAAAGATGTTTTTATCACCAGATTATGAACTCTCACAAACAGATTGCGCAATAAATCTTCTTTTCCGGATTTGATAGTGATTAACATGTACATTGAGAAAGTTACTGAGACGAAAATCACTTGTTTCTTTTAAATCTATCTATAGTTAAAATATACATGGTTAAATGAATTGAGAATCATAGGCCACATCCTTCAGAAACAACGTCAAGTGGTTTATTAATTTGTTTTTTTCCTGACCTTTGGATACATAAAAGCCGATTAGTACCTAGTTTGGGGGTTGATAGATTACCAGACACTACAACTCTAGTTATCCACATTAATTGTGCAGCATTACTTTAATTAGGCCAAATTAACAATACCCGAAGACAGCTTCAAATATTAAACTCTTTATTGACGTGTACCAACAAAGTTTTTTGCATGGATGACAAACCCTAAATTAATAATTTAGAAAGTTTATATCGAATGATCCGCTAGTTTCTATTTTCTAGACCTACACTATAGATACGAAAATCGTATCTTTAGGGATGTGAAAATGTATCTCCTCGATCGTTGACCAAAAAAAAAAAAGAGAGAAAGAAAATGGATCTTCTCAGCGTATAAGCTCAAATAAAAAAAAAAAACAATTTATTTGTGTTTAGTGTTTGTCTCTACGATCAAGGGAATATTTTTATTTATAATATGGGTTCATAAAAATGTTCACTGAACGTATACACTAGTAACCAGAACTTATTTGGTGCGGTTTTAAGTTTATTTGTTTTACTTCAATTTTCTTTGGAAACAAAACAATTTATCAATTTTAAATTCAGTTCAATTGCGTGTTGGTTCTTGGATTGGTTAGGTATATTAAGAGTAAACATCTCATACTTGTATGTTTTTAGTTATTGAAAGACTAATAAATAAGTAAATAATGGTGGAAAGTGAAGATGTAGATGTGTATAGATGGCAACCCATGCATGATTATTGCCTTGGACACCGCACACCTTTAGATTGGTGTCCAGTGGACCTGTATCAAAGTTCAAGAAATCAAAAAATAAAAGTATATCTTAAATATTGTTTCTTTTCCTATGTCCTACTTCTAATTTAATTGATTTTCGACAGTCAATATGCGTAGACATATGTTTTGGTCTAATTCTTAGACATTTGATGCATTACAATAACCTCAATAACAAGGTCCATATGCTCAGTTTCATCACGTCCGATAATTTTTAAAGATTTTTTTGTATTGGTCAGCTTTTTTAAAGATTAATAATGCTCTTCCATTATAGTACTAAAGTGTAATCTGTGAAAAAGATTACTAGTACAATTTTGTTGATTTATAAGGAGAAAGCCGCTCGATGAGACACTGAGGATCGAACGGCACACGCACATGTAAACGTCACGTGGCTCTATCTCTTTGATTCAATGCATTATCTCTCGAGTCTCGACCAAACCAACTTGCCTAATTAATATTCCTCGTACGACTCTTTAATCTTTTTTTGTTTGCTTTAAAAACCAAAAAAAAAACAAATAATTTTGTTCTTGTGGAAATTTTACCCAAAATATTTTAAGATTAAGATCGTCTCTCCCCGACAAGCATCTCTAATTAAGCTTGGAGCATTTATGTGGTTGGTCTATTAGAGATTAATGGTCGTTTTCAGGAGTGATGCTATCATGAAACAAGTTATTTGAAAAGTGTTCGTAATTTGGTTTCCAAAATTTTGGAGTATGATTAGGTTCAGAGTATCATGATTAAGGATAAAAAAAAGTATATTTTTATATCTTTGTGACAAAGACAAGAATAGGTATACTTTTATGGGTTTTAACTTTTTTAACAATTTTAATTAATTAAGAATCACAGATTGAAAGGGAAATTAAACGAATGATGAGAAAAAACAATGTATCTGCTGCTTCCGTGAGGTCGGTCATTGGGTTCATTGCATTGATCCAAAAATACCAAATATTATGGTTCAAATTCAATTTTATACTTGTAGCTAGCTCCAACAAAACAACAACAATGTTTACGTACATTTTCTTTGTCAGAAAGAGTCTAGAAAGATGATTCATGACCCTTAATTAAAGTTAAATCCTGACGCTGACCATAAATTAGGAAAAAATAGAGAAACTCCGGTTTTGATAAATTAATTAAAGAGAAATTCCGGTCTGACCAGAAGAGAAATTCCGGTTTTCAACTTTAGTAACCTTTCCGGTTTCGGTTGAAACACCACAACCTTAACCAGAAGCTTTGGATCTAACGTAAAGGTGAAATGTCTAAAACCCTAGAATCCTACCGTTCGGCGTTCGCCGGTTCGAATTTTCCAGACAAGGTTTGAACTTAAACTCCGAACTCGTTCTTCTACAGCAAACTCGGACCAATTGGAAAACAAAAATGGCGGCGAATGGGTACCGGCTCTAAACTGGTTACACACTTTTCTGAAATTGGTTTGATGAATTGATCTTTAAAGTTGTCATTTTTTTTTGGTTCTTGTCTGGGATTTGATCACAGGCTAATGGCGGCATCCAATGTGTTTCTTCACCGTCCTGAAAATCTCAATTTCTCGTTTACTTCTAGAACGAATCAAATGGCTCCACTCGGCGTCAAAGGCCGTGTTGGTTTCATGGGCAATGTGAAACTCTGTTCGACGGTGGTTTTGTCAATGGCAAAGTCGGAGACTTTAGAGGAAGCCGGCAAGTCCGTAGCGCCTGGTAACGGCATATCCATCATGGTATCTAATTATTTCCCAAACACTCTTGACTTGTGAGATCAAGCATTTGCATTGATGTGTTTGTGTGATTTTCCGGAAATTCATAGTTAGAAAGCTGTTACCTTTTTTTTTTTTTTTTTCCCTAGCACAAGCAATCTTTTAGGGTCAAGTTACAGTTTTTGAAGCGAGTATGAGTGTAATTGTAGGATCAAGTTATAAGCCATTCATTCACTCTCTTTATACCTTAGGTGAATGGATGCAGTGGCAAAATGGGGAAAGCTGTCATCAAAGCGGCAGATTCTGCTGGAGTGAATATTGTTCCTACATCATTTGGTTCTGCTGAAGAGGCTGGTCAAAGAGTTGAGGTCTGTGGAAAGGAGATTCTTGTCCATGGTCCTACTGAAAGAGAAAAGGTTCTATCTTCGGTGTTTGAGAAGTATCCTGAACTAATTGTTGTGGACTACACAATTCCCTCTGCAGTAAATGGTACAATCCTGTGTCTTAGAATGTGCATTTTGTAACACCATTATGATTAAATTGTGCATAGAATCTGTTGGATGATTTTATCTTTCACTCCTAAGTGAATCCGATTTATGTGAATGCTATAACACCAGCTGGTTTAAAAACTGTTTATCTGCAGTTAGTTGATTTAAAAGGTGGTTTTTTTTTTTTTTGGCAAAATGTAGATAATGCAGAGCTGTATGGCAAAGTAGGAGTTCCCTTTGTCATGGGAACAACTGGAGGAGACAGGACAAGATTGTATAAAACTGTAGAGGAATCGAAGATTTATGCTGTGATCTCCCCACAGATGGGTAAACAGGTGCTCACTTAATACTCAATGTGTCATAGAAGCTATAAATTATGTCTGTTAACTCTCATCCTTGTGACCCATAATATCTTTTCTCTGTCCACTAGGTTGTTGCGTTTCTTGCAGCCATGGAGATCATGTCTGAGCAGTTTCCTGGTGCATTTGCTGGTTATTCCTTAGAGGTGCTTCTTTTTCTTTGAGATATTCATTGAAGTGGAATTTATAGGTTGTATCATAGTACGGCTGATTGGCTGTAATCTTTCTAGGTGATGGAGTCTCATCAAGCTAGCAAATTGGATGCATCTGGAACTGCAAAAGCTGTAATTTCTTGCTTTCAGAAATTGGGGGTGTCTTACGACATGGACCAGGTGTCTATATCGTACTTTGTTTTTTAAAACTATCGTTCTCAAGTAACATCATCATCAGTAAGACCGTTTGCTTACTTTTGAAACCAGATACAATTAATTCGAGATCCTAAGCAGCAGATTGAGGTGGTGGGTGTTCCGGAGGAGCATGTCTCGGGTCATGCTTTCCATCTTTATCACTTGACATCACCAGATAAAACGTAATGCAAGATTTAGACTTTCATTGATTCTGTTTTAGTAGTCCTCTTTAATTGCTGGGAACTGATTTGTTTCATTGTCTGCAACATCAAAAACATCTTTTGTTTTTTTTGTAGTGTGTCCTTTGAGTTCCAGCATAATGTTTGCGGAAGATCAATATATGCTGAGGGCACTGTCGATGCAGTGCTTTTCCTTGCCAAAAAGGTTAGACATCTTCTTCTTCTGGAAACTGTCTCAAAAGATTCAAATTTTCAATGAATTGGATATTGCGTTTCTTAATCTGATTTGCTAAAGACACATTCATGAATTGTGTAGATCCGGTCGAAAGCAGAGAAGCGGATCTATAACATGATTGATGTCTTGAGAGAGGGAAACATGCGTTGAACAAAGCTGAGACGATTTCCAATTAGAAGTTTCAGAGGCATTGACCAGGTGTTGAAGGTAGAAGAGTGTTACAAGACAATATACCAAAGCAAAAGTCAGCTCTGAATTTTGTTGTTTAGCTTTCTGAAACTACCATAGTATTCAACTAGTTATTGTTGGTTTTACTTGGCATTGACAGAACCAAAACATGCGCTTGCATTGTTAAACACTATATAAAAAATGTGTGCCAAGTTAATGTGTTGGGGTTCTTCATTTCTTTGTAAGGTTTCGTCTTTTATGGCTTCTCTGTTTCTCTTTCCGAATGCAAAAACTGTCATTTCTTTTCGATCATAGTCGTCATTTTTCTTCGGCATCATTTCTCTAAGAGAAGAACGTTTTTAGCTTTGATCGAAAAACAGAGCCTCACCATGTTAAACCCAGCTCTTGTTATCTCCACAATCCCAAATCCCTAATTCTGTTTTCCAGAGTGCTGCATATGCAAAGACCACCAATCTTCCAAGTTCTCAAAGTACGAGATGCCTTTTAGACATAATCACCGAGGAGTGGGAGAGTTTCGAGCAGTGTGCGTAAGCATCTGATCCCTGTCTTGTCACATGACTATACTCTCTTATCTCAAAACATGTTAGAACTTATGACACCAAAATATGCCAACTAAAAGAATGAGATGTTAAGTCTGCTTTAATTTTAGCGTATTTAAATTTAACAATTAGATTTTTAAAAGAAAAAAATATTTGTATAGTCAAAGATATTTAGTAAAAAATCAAAACAATAACTAAGTGTTAAATTTTTAATATACGTGGAAAGCATGATAAATTTATGACATCAAAATTTATGGACCAAAAGAACAGACCTAAAGTTCGGTTTGTTTTCAACTAGGTTGCATGGAATCAGAAGCGGCTACGCGGAAGCGAAGCGTTTAGAAACGTGGAAACGATTTTTATAGAAATTATAGAAAGTGGGTACGTGTTGGAAGCGTATATAAAAATTAATATTAATATTTTATATATCTATATATACACACATACATATATAATAAAAATTAAACATTATCTCCTATAAAAATTATAATTAACATGAGGGAAAACAAGAATTATAATTAACACACAAATCTAATACATAAATTTTAAATACCTGAACTATATTTAAAAATCAAATAGTGTATGTTTACAATAAAGAAAAGTCAAATAGTTCAAAGTCATAAATTTAAGATCATTATCTTCATTCTCATTTTACTAATTTCATCAAATAAAATTGTTTTAAATTTTTTTTACCGATAAAACATCATCAAACTCACGTTTCTTGAAAGCGGGATTCCGAAAGCTTCCGAAATCTTCCGATTCCGACTAAGATTCCGAAGCGGGAAGTGGACCTCGGACGAAGCTTCCGTGCTTCCTAGGTTTTCAACATATTTAAATTTAGATTTTTATTATAAAACAATTTGTATAATCAAAAATACTTAGTTAAAAATCAAAACAATTTTGTTATAAAACATTATTCGTGAAAATCCTTAAAACCTAACTAAGTGTTAAATTTAATATACGTGAAAACATGTTGAACTTATGACACCTAAAGGGCGGGATGCTAAATCCGGTTTGTTTTCAACGTATTGAAATTTAAAACCTAGATTTTATAGATAATGAAAAATTGTATAATCAAAAATATTAAGTTTTTTTTTATCATCAAAAATATTAAGTTAAAAATTAAAAAAATTTACTTAAAACATTAATTGTCAAACACTTTAACAAATAACAAAATGTTAAATTTAAAATACGTAAAAAACATGTTGAAATAATTACACCACAATATTTACGGATCAAAAGGACGAGATGTTAAATCCGGTTTGTTTTCATGTATTTAAATCTAACACTTAAGATTGAAAACATTTAACAAAATTATTTGTATCATAATTAAATTTTAGTTAAAAATAAAAAAATATTACTAAAAATATTTTATTAGTCAAAAACCTTAAATGTTAAATTTAAAATACGTGAAAGCGTGTTGAATTTATTGAATATATGACACCACAAAACTTACGGACAAAAAGGACGGGATACTAATTCCGGTTTGTTTTCACGTATTTAAATCTAACACTTGAATTTGAAACATTTAATAAAAAATTTGAATAGTAATTCATTTTAATTTTAAAATCACAAATTTTACTTAAAAAATTATCTGTGAAAAACCTTAAGTGTTAAATTTAAAATACGTAAAAATTTATTGAATTTGTGACAACACAAGACTTACGGACCAAAAGGATGGGATACTAAATCCGGTTTGTTTTACGTATTTCAACTTAACACATAAGTTTGAAAACATTTATTTATAAAAATTGTTTGTATATTTAAAAATAAAAACAATTTAGTTAAAATAATATTTGTAAAAAAGCTTAATTGTTAAATTTAAATAAGTGAAAACGGGTAGGATTTATGACATCACACAAAACTTACGGACAAAAAGAACGGGATGCTAAATCCGGTTTGTTTTCACGTATTTAAAGTTAAGTGGTTTAAGTATTAAACTTGTCTTAGAATTTAGTAAAAAATCATTACTAGGTTTTAAAAATGAGTCTAATTGTTAAATGTATATTGTGTGAAAACATGATGCCTAGATTAGTTTTCGACGTTTTTAAAATTTAACACTTGAACTAATTTTGAAAAAGTAATAGTGAAATTAAAATGATTTTAGTTAAAAGCATTATTTTCTTAAAGTTTAAGTGTTAAATTTGTTTTAAATTTCAATAAAAATTATTATTAATTTAAAAATGATTTTAAGTGTTAAATCTATACGTGAAAATATGCAGAACTTCGAACACCAAAGCTTATACGGACCAACTAAGGACAAGATGCCTAGGCGCGGTTAGTTTTCGACATTTTTAAAATTTTACACTTAATTTTTTAAAATTAATAGTGAAATTAACATGGTTTTGGTTAAAAATATTATTTTCTTATAGTTTAAGTGTTAAATTTGTTTTAGGTTTTAGTGGAAATCATAATTAAATTTTAAAAATGAGTTGAAGTATTAAATCTATATATAACAATATTTGAGAAGTGTTTTTGCTGACGTGTCGGACTCTCGGCTCTTGTTGAGTCCTTGATTTTACGTAATTACTTAATTACCCTTAATGAAATCTAATTAATTTTGGAAAAATTAAATTGAATTTCGGTATTAACCAGGAAAAAATAATTTTGGAAACAATAAACATGATAATTAACCAAAAAAAAAAAAAAAGGAACAACGAAGTACCAGTTAGGAAGCTTCAATTGAATTCATCGTGTTCTTCGTCGTGTGAATATAATTCTTCTAAACGAAGGCAAAACTTGAAATCCTAACATAAAGCATATATTCATAGCAATAACAGAGATCTAATAATTTAGTGATAGAATTTCACCTGTTGATCTGTCGAAGCAGAATAGTCAAGCTTCTCATAGTATCTTGCCCATGTTATGTCTTTAAGACGTCAATACTATCCTGCACCCTATAATTCTAACCAATGAAAAGAACAAATATTTATTACCTTGGATACAGAGTTGACGAAGAAACCTTGGATAAAAACTCGACGAAGAAACTTGTAAGTGTTAATGTATGATGAAGCTTCCATGAACGTGAATTCGTGATCATAATGAAGAAACGTGTGAATGGAGACGGTTGATGGGTTTTTTTTTTTTTTTTTTTTTTTCTTTTTTACCTTTTGTGTAAACAGATCTGTTTCATAATTTATCGGAAAAGGAATTATACCAAAAAAAAAAAAAATCGGAAAAGGAAAATATTTATTATAATATTGATATATTTAAGATGATAATGTCAAATATCCGAAAATTATTAATCGGAGCATTAATATAAACATAAAAGAATATTATTCTAACTTTACTCAAATTAATAAGATTTAGATATCCGAAATTAATCGTAAACGGCTATTAATTGTTAAACTAATTAAAATAAAGATCAAACGTACCGGAATAGATGAAATTTTTGGTATGATCATCGTGTTCGTCGTCGTTTCAATCTAAATATTTGGAAAAAAAAACGAACAAAAAAAATAATATGTAGATCAATGAAAGAGAACCCACCAATTTAGAAACGGTTATCACGCCATCGTATTGTTCGTCGGATGATTATAAGTCTCTAATCCGGAGATTGACTTGAACCCTGACAAAAACATATATTCATAGCATAAAATCGTAAATAGAAGGTAGAAGACCACCTATTAATCGGTTGTAACCTTGTGCAAACTCGATTTAATTTTGACGAATGAAATGTTGGTGTGGTGTCAAAACTTTCTTGGGGAGACTCGAAGATGAGAGAGCTGAAGTCAGAGATAGGCAGAGAGGTTTACATGTGAATTAAGGTATGGAGTGCTAACGTGAACATGAACGTGATCGGCGGTGATTTTTGCACATAATAGCAATTAGATCGAGTTTTGGAAAAAAATATGGATCAGCGTGACATGACGCATATGGATACCATGCATGTCTATCTATTGTAAATCAAAAATTATATTATTGTTCCGCCTTATTTTTGAAACAGAAAGGAATTTTCCCTTAAATTTTAATATATTTTATAAGATAGTATCAGATATAGTAGTAAATCTAAAATAGTTGTTATTATTCCATATTTTTACGGAAAAAAGTAAATATTATTTTAAATAAACATGGATAACAATGAATAAATGACAGTTTTACAAATATTTATTATTATGATAGTGATTTGCTTATTAAAATATGTAAATTTTCTTTTCTTTTTTTGTATTTATCGTCGAAAAATTTAGAAACCCTAAATCATGCACCGCCTCCTATTCAATATAAATACCTTGCTCATGGTATTCAATTTCAGATCATAACTAACCCTTGTTTTTTTTGTTCTTTTTTTTCAAACTTTTTTTTGCTTCTACCTAATTTTAATTTTTCTTTTTATTGTAGGGTGGATGTATGGAGGGGACGATGTGAACTGGTGTATGGAAAATTTGGACCTAATTCAATGAATAAACAGGTGATCTTATAGTTTATATGTACAAATTTGATTTTTTTTTTTTTTGTATTTATGGTTTCACTATTTTCACCACTAATCAATTTTTATAATCAAAAAGTTTGGTTTCAACTTTTGAGAAGGTAATCATCGATGGTTTGGTATGTTTCTTTTTGTTGTAAAAATATGAGGTACCTCCCGATTTTGTTGAGGTACATGTTCTTATTATTTTCAAATATGTCTTTTTTCAGAAGAAACACTCAACTTTTGATAACATAGTTGCCACAAAGTCAGAAAGATGACTTATTTCAGGGATGAAT